GGGCGGTCTCGCCCACGGTCGCGTCTGGGAAAACCTCCTCCACCTCATCCGAGGAGTTGGAAGAAAACCACCAGACCCAATCAGCCGGGGGGCCTTGAACAAGCTCCAGGGTCAATGAGAGGCCCAGCACCGATAGCCATGGCCCACCCAACATTGTGACACCTGTCCTATTCAAAGCAGTCCCTAGGCTGCAATCACTTGAGCCAGTGAAAGCAGCAACCCAAGCTAACCCTACGTTCTGGCGAACACACGATTGAGTTCAACAGCCGCCGGGCTTGGACGGAGAATGAACCCCCACGCGGTTTCTACCCCAAACACCCCAACCCCTCCCACCCACTAATTAGGGCAACAGAGGGAAATGCTACTCGGCACACTTGTGTGTCGGTGCTTTTCCCTCTGTTGTCCCTTTTCTAGTCTTCTCTGCCCGGGCGGTCTAAGACTAAAGTCCCGCTCCCTAACTATTGCATTTAATTCACTTCCGCTAAGTAATCAGTAATTCTAGAGTGCTAAGTATTCATACACACACACGGACACACACACACATGTACATACACCTCCCTGCCCCCCCACTTTCTTTCTTGCCCTTTTGGTCGTTTCTTGGGCTTTCTCTCAGACTTTTTAGGTTGCTCTTGAGACTCGTTTCCCTACCCCAGTCAAGGGCTAAAGTATTCACTTTTTTCTACTCCTACCTTTCTCTCTTGCCCCCTTAGCGCTGCTCTTTCTGTGTTTCTTTCTTTTGTTTCAAAGGCTTTTTAGGTAACTATCCAGGTCCGTCGCACGAGCGCCGCAAAGCGGCGCCGTGTGTGTGTGTGTGTGTGTGTGTCAACCCCTGTGCCTAAGGGTTCCACCTCGTTTTTTTTTTGAATGCTTTTTCAGCAGGGGGCTCACAGGTCTGTTCCTGGCGTGAGCAAACGAAGCTCCAGGTTCAAACTAGGATATCGAAAGAGGACGCTCTTTCGACGTACCTGCGCTTAACTTTTGACCAAGCTGTTCCAATCCTCCTTGTTTGATTCCATGGTGGTTCATGATACTTCCCACAAACCTTCTCCCCACCGCGGTGTTTCAGCCGCCTTCAGCCGCTCGGGAGCTGCCGTCGTGAGTTCTGCAGATGCGCATAAACCACTTGTTCAAACATCTCCAATTCTTCGGACTTTTCACCTTGCGGTTCTCCACCTTCCTTCCACCTGGGAATTGAGTTAACCGAAAACCAATGTCAGAGTGTGTGTTTTTTGGTCGCTGGCTGAAAACTCTGTGGTCCATAATATGTGATTTGACATGATTCTTGATGAACTTTTTGGCAACTCTGCAAATCAGAGCGGGAGTTTGATGATTTATGAGGCTTACGCCTGACAGCCGGGCGCCGGTCTATGTGTGTATGTGTAGGGGGTCTCTGTCTCCGTCTCGGTATCTGTCTCTGTCTCTGTCACAAGGTCGTGGGAGAGCATCGCTTCCCCACCCTCTACCAGGGCAACATCCTGGCGTACAGCCCCCAGCACCCCCTGTTCAGTCGTGCCATTGCCGACTGCGTGAGCGCCACCCCCGCGCAGACGCGCAAGCGGTATTTTCATTTCTGTGAATTCCTTTGGGGAGGAAAGACTGCGCAAGCATGGAAAGCAAAAGCTGACACATGTGAGCACTTCGTTGGGAACTGATATCCCCATCGACGGCCACCATCGCGCACGACGACCGTCCCTACGCTGCCACCAGGGCGTGGGGTTGGAACAAGAAGTTTCTCGACGCGGCCATGGTGACATTGGCAGTGAACAAAGACACCGCAGCGGAGCAGAGCATCGCTCAGCCCCTGCCGGAGCAGAGCGGCGCTGATTGCCGCGCCGGCGGAGGCGGAGGGAATGGCCGCGGAGGTGACGGCAGACTTGTTGCAGCAATGTCAGAAAATTGTGGCGGACAGCATCCACTACAGCGACCCGGTCGAAGCGGAGGTGGCCACGTTAGTGGGTCGTTGCAAGAACAGCAAACGCAAGGAGTACAAGTTCCAAGGAAGCAACGAAGTAAGGCACCACTTTCAAGGCCATGAAGAGCTGCCGCCCACGGAGACTACTGGCACAGCTACGTTAGCGGAGCAGAGCGGCGCGATGGTGCCCGCGGAGGCATCGAGGAAGTCGACAGTGTTTCGATCGTTTTGGGCGCTGGGAGGGTGGGGTCGGGCGGGGGTCGACCAAAAGGGTCGGCGGCAGGGGCGGCGAGCGTATAAACCTTCGGTTACCAACCGAAGGCCTCCGGCAAGGACACGGGCCCGTGGCCGGCGCCCGGATTTTTTAGATAAGTCACGGGGGGGGTTGTATTGCAGGCACCTTTGGTCGCACGAGAAAAGCAACAAGTCTTTCAGGGTTGAGATCGTGGAATTTACGAAGACACAAATACAAAACACACATGTGTTTTGTGGAAACAAGAGGAGGTTGTTTGTCCAAACATTTTTTTTTGGGGCTAGTCCCGATTCAACACTTTGCCAGACCACGGACCCTTCTGTCTTCTGACTTCTGTTTTGCTTGGCTTGGAAGGCTTTTGCTGAAAAAAACAACTAGTTTTGCCGTGTCTCTTCGCGTAGGACTTCGAGTGTTCGTTTTGCACATGAGAGGTGGGAGATGGTGGAAGTGTGGGAAGGTGGAAAGGGGTCCCTTGCTGGCTGTGAAGAACATTTCTTCCTGCAGGTGATGTTGTTCAAAGGGTCCCTCTTGTTCAGATGCATGACCCCCATGTTTGGGAAATCAAACAGCCATTGTCCCTGTTCAACAGGTGTGATACAAAGAGCACCGGCATGGTACTTCTGAAACTCACAGGAAAGCACCCTGGAGTTGCCCGGAAGGCCTGGCGAAGTGCCATTCTAGATCATCACCTCGCCATTCGTACCCCCTTGTAGATTGCAGGTGGTGGGGGTGGTGGTTGGTCTCGGAATCGCTCTCGGAAGGTTCGGATCCGTTGCTTTTCCAACGCCATGGATACGTTGAGCATTGACCCCTGGAACCATTCTCCTCTAGAAACATGGGACATGAGATTTAAGAAGAGTTTGGAACCAGGAGCCACCAGACGGGGTGTCGAACTTGGAGGAAGGATAGGGGTGCCCAGAACATCCACTCACTGACTAGATGGTGGCTAAACACCCCCCCGACAGGTGAGTCCTGGAACCTTTTGACTTGAGCAAAGATTGATATATTGATTGGCGAAGTGAATGGGGTATGGATGCGAGTCACTCGAAGAAATCCGCAAGCCAAAAGGGTTAAGTGGATGTGTTTTTTCTGCCCGCATGTCCACATAGAATCCTGCGACCCGTGCATGTGTAAAATTGGATTCTTGCACACCTGCACTTTTGACTGGCTGGCTCGTCATGTCTGCATGGTCCTGTAATGTTCTGTATGTTTTTTTTCTACAGTTTGCCAGATGTTGACATCCTGTAATGTTCTGTATGTTTTTTCTACGGTTGCCAGATGTTGTCAACACCGGAAAAGCAATCATACCGGCCAAGGTCAGGTCCTCCCAGGAGAAGAAGCGAACAAGCGAATGTCTCACACCGCCAGCCACTGTCAGCTCCTTCTTAGAGAAGAAAGGCCGTCGCACCGTCGCGGGTCCTGCCCACCGGTCCGTTGAACCAACGGCACGGACCGGTCCTCCGCTTGACTCGACTTGACGGCCGCGTGTGAAGTCGCCAGGTCCGCTCTCAACGAGGCACGGTCTCGACCGACGGACGGCCATCGATCGATGGGTCCGGTGGGCATTGGTATGGCCGTGGTGCGGTCGGCATCCTTTATATAGGGCGGGCTATAGTGTCACGTCCCATGCTCTGAGTTTCGGAGATGGGTACTTGATGTGCGCACTCACCCCTGGCCCAGATTCGAGTTTCGGAGGGGACGGCCAGGAGGCGTTTTGGGATGCGCCATGCGCCTGGAAGACCCACACTGGTTGATAGGTCTTCCAATCTTCCAGCCTGGTCCATGTTTGGGTTTCCGCATCATTTTTCCAGGTGTATATCCCAGACAAGACCAATGGGACTGGAATCCTTACCTACATTGACCCCTGTTCAACCACCCCAATGTAGGTCAAGATGCCAGTCCCATGGAGTGTCTATAGGTATACCTAGAACCCAGACATGACCTCTGTTTGGATCGGAAAGAACTCATATTTTGGGTGGTTGCTGGTCATGAATAGAGGTCGCTCAGGTTCTAGGTATATATTATACATTTCTTTATAGTCAACTTTTGGGGGGAGGAGTTGCGGCAAAGAGCCAAACTGTAAGATTTTGGTTTTGCTCAGTAAAGCTCACAGTTCGGACCGACTGGTGGATGTTTGTAATTGTTTTCTCTGCGAGAGGCCATGCATCGGCCATGGCCCTCATGTCATGTGCATGAGGTCAGTGCGACACCTGCTATAGAATTACCTCCCTTCAGAATATCTTCTTAGCCCCTTTGGATGCTTGAAGGTTAAAACAGTGATTTACAGTGCAATGAACCCTTCAGGTTCAACTTTAGAACAGGTCGCTCAAGCCCAACGCAGCTTTTCAGCAGATGATTTCCAACAACGGTTGAAGGACCCTCTAGCCTATCCCATAGGTACCCCAGTAAGGTCCTATAAGGTCACTTAACCTCTCGTGGTTAATACCCTTAGCGATTTGTGGCGTCGGTGCTGACTCGGCCAGCTCCACCCTTTCCGAGTGTTCGAGCGAAGCGGGTCACGAAGCGGGTCGCCCTTGTCGAAGCACAGCTGCCATGTGAGGCTCACAGGAAGTCCAGGAAGTTCGTGTTAGGACGCGAAACGCATACGTCTAGATTGATCTTCAAACTGGTCCAAAAGGGTCTAAAAAAGTCAAAAGGCTCTCCCCAACATACAGATATGAGTGATATCGGACTGATCTGGTTCCAAGAAAGCCTCCCAAATCAACCAAGCCATTCTTATCGCGGCCTGGATACAGGACCCTCTAGGGGGTGTCTATTCATAGCCCTTTAGCTGTTAAGGGGTCCATTAACCACCCCTTGAAGGCCCTGGTACTAAGCCTTTGTTTTTTCTGGATGTTGTGTCCCATCCTGGTGTGTTTCGCCCATGGCGTCCTTCCCAAAGCTCTCGGCAGCTACAAAGGATGCGCCCTTAAACGCGGTGACTTGCGCTGGTCGGGTGGTGTTTGTTTGTTTTTCCCCGGTCAGTGTAAGACAGGTGGGGCACTAAGGCTTTTTGATGCTTTTGGGGGGATTGATGTCCACTGAAAGTCATCATGGTGGAAAGTTGGGTGAGAACCAATTAACCTTGATTTTGGAGGAGATCTCCGGGGGAGTCAGTAGTTTGTCGGGTTGGTCACACTTTGTTGGCAGTCTATGGAGGCTCTGTGGATGTCCCATTGTTTCTTTGATGGTCCTTGATGGCTTTATGGCAGATGCTTACGGCGGAAAGCCCGGAAACCATCAACACGGTATGGACATTATTCCCTGTGGTTGTGCAGTATCTATTTGTCCACAGGAGTTGTGCGTTTTTGTTTGTTGGCATGTGTTAGGCCTCAGGGCTGATGGAGTTCCCCCCGTTTTTGTTTGTTGGCATGTGTTAGGCCTCAGGGCTGATGGAGTTCCCCCGGTTAGAATTCCTTTGTCTTTTTGCCTGGGCGGTCAACTATTCCATGGGTGCAAGACGCAAGACTGCGTGTCACAGATGGTCAAATTATGCAATGCAGAAGACTGCGAACCCTGCAAGGCTACATGACTTTGCATTTTCTTGATCCATTCCACACGCATGCTAGTACTTGGAATTAGTGACGATGCGTTTCCTCAGAAACAAATACCCTATTGGTCATACAAAAACAATATTTAAGGATGTAAAAGATCAGATTTTGCTGGATCAGACTGGACTTGCAGAGATAACATAACTCATTCCAAGAACCGTGTTCTCCACGCCAAGGCAAGAACCATGTTCTCCTCCTACGAGCATAAGAAACCCGCCCGCGACGTCGTTCACGGTGAGTTCAGGGATAGTAGTTGTTGCCAAAGTAGAATACCACTGGCTGCCCACGTGGGTTCGATCCTATGGCCTTATGATCCTTCAAGTGCTACAAGATCAAAAACGAGCAAGGCTTGGGGCGATAGTCGCATGGTGTTCTTGCATTTCATCAAATTAATTAACTTTGACCAAATGGGCTTGCTCCAGAAGAAGGTACCACCAGAGTCACTTATTGACTGGAGCTTGTCCCAGAAGAATGCCTGCAATAGAATGATCTGAGGAAAAATTGAGAGCCTTGCTGGACTCGAAGACCATGGAGAAGTTGTTTGAAGAACATCCTGACTGCAACGGGGTCTTAAGAGTGCAATCATGCTACCGGCTTGGGTTGAGACTCGAGACTCACATGAGCCGTGGGTCAAATGAGTTGCTCCTGCTTTCAGGGTGCACCGGGCATATGGGACAACGACCACGCAAGACCGAAAGCTGGATCTGATCCAGTGTTGACATATACAGCGAGGGCATAACTTCACACGTCACTTCGCAGTACCCAACTTTCTCATCTCAGACTTCAAGGGACAAAGAAACAGGTACCTTGCACCCGGATGATGAACCTCATCAAGAATATGCATTGAAGCTGCCCTGTGAAATCCTGCAGGGGGTGAGTCCAAAAGCTGAAACCCTATATGAAATCGTTGGGGTGGAACTCCGATGGATTGACCAGGAACCCGACTCACTGCAGGGGTGAACAGAACGGGAGACCTGTCTGGCACGGACATTGATGGTGAAGAAAGCGGTAGTGGGGACATGTGGTGACCGCTTTCGGATGGTGAGCGTGGCCCCCCAGCCTTCCACCGAAGCGGGAGCTGCAGGGTGAGCAGAAGAGCAGTGCCGAGGCCAAACTGTGCACCCAAAGGAACCGAGGCAATCTGGTAGATGAAGGTGATGGGGAAAAATGGCGACCGAACACAGAACGTGCTGCAGGTTCTTATCCGATGCCCCGGATTTGGTTTGTTTCTTCGAGACTGAGACGATAATCACATGAAACACATTCATTTTTTTCTGATGAAACCCCTTGCCTTTGAGGTATTTTGCCTGAGAGCGCTTGCCGATCAGGACTCCACAGAATTTCAGCCTTGGATTGTAGAGATTGAGGTTTCAACCATCTAACCTACAAAGAGATTGAGGTTTCAACCATCTAACCTACAAAGACACGGTCCACATGTCCCTCAACTTCCGAAACAAACAAAAACATACCAGGACCTTCCAACAGGTGTTTTTTGGACACCCCAAATCACCAAGAGGTTTTTTTTAATAGACACCTCTTGGAAGGTCCTGGTAGATGGTTAAGCAACAGACTTTGGTGCTTGTGCTTCCTCGTGTCTTTCAGGTCTTGGGGGATATAGAGATTGTCAAACATCCGCAACCGTGGCTGGTCCTGGCAGAAAGCCATGTTGACGCTTTTCACATTCATACAAGCTCCTTTCACTTCAAACTGTTTGGATTTGCAAGCGGAACCGTTGCTGCATATGCACGATTCTTTGTTTAGGTTTCCTTCAAAAGACTAAATAATACCAGAACCGATAAAGCAAACCAGACATTTGCACAACTACCAGGACCTTTCGACTCAGTGGAACGATTGATCAGCCATCAGGACAGCGGCCAAAGGGCCTTGGCGCCAAAGCCCCCTTCGGCACTGCGCGGCTGCGGGAGATGGCGCAGGCAGCGGAAAACCGCTTCCCACACGCGTGTGAGCATGCTGCGGCAGGCAGCGTGTGTGGTGCGTGGCATGTCGCAACGGCAATACGACAGAGGATATGGTATTATGGCTGCTCAATGAATCACACATCTATAACTATATACTATACTCACATCAACTCACACTTGGGGTCTAAGTCTAATCACCAACCCTCGAAGTCTGATCTGAAAACAGCATCTGTTGAGTGACACAAACATTTCAACTTGTGACAAGCTCATTTACCAGACAATTCTTTCCCTCGTCTGAGAACAGCTTTCTTCTCATGTCACAAAACAGCAGCTGTAGCTCCTCCAGGTCCATCTGGGCGAACGAACGTCCCATGAGAACCTCAGCTTCAGTGGGGACTGGACCCCCCTGTGGCACCCACCTTGCCGCATCGAACAAATCTTCGGACGGGAACCGAAGTCGGGAGCCCCTCCGGCGACCGTGACCGAGTGGCTCGGCCGAAGGGGCCGAACGGAGCCACAGCCCGACAGCGAGGCGCATTTTGAAGAGCCGGTGCTGCGGGCGATCGATGCACATTGGTTCGACGAAGACGCTTGGAGCCTCGAAGAGAGCAAGGACGAGAAACCCACCGTAGCCACGCGAGAGAGACGCGTGCGGCGCGGACCGCGGGTGTTTTGTGTGTGTTCTTTTTGTGGCATGGCTGTGGGGCCGTGCTTTTGGTGCTTTTGGCATGCCTGTGTTGCCAGTGTGTTTTTGCATTGCCGTGTTTTATGGTGCAAGGTATTTGTGATAGGGGGCGGGGATTTAAGGCCAATGAATACTGGTGGACTGTTGGATGGTTATTAATGGACATAGTGTCACACTCACAGAATAATGACAGAAGATCTCCAGTGGACTCGGCTCATCAGCTTGACTCTCATGGCTATTGTATGTGTGGTGTATGTTGCGAAAAGTTGGTCATCTCATCGTACCTTTTCGGCTATACATCCTAAATAGTAGGTCAACTGGATTAGACAGGGGACACAAGCAACAACAAACAAGAACATGTTGCCTCATTTTAAGGGCTTTAGGAACCTTCCTAGGATATCCTACCATCATACCTGACTAATTAAGGTACATAACACCAAGATGTCCACCACTCTGTGTGAGGAGCTCTTTGATTTCCTTGCAGCTTTGGAATATCCACTGGGTGACCAGTGCACTACACTGCAGGTGCTGCGCGCGTGGGCACGTCACCTGGGCAAAATGGATCGGATGCCACGTGTGACGTAGCGCTTCTTCCCTTTTTTGGTGAAGTGGGTGTGTATTATATTGTATATTGTGTTTCATGAGCTGATGTTGAGCCTTTTGAGCATGTCACTAAAGAGTGTATGCCCCCCGTCGCATTTAGTGGATCCGCTTTGAGCCTGACCGCACGTGTG